AGAGCGCGTCCTCGGCGGAGAGGGGCGCCGGCGCCGGCGGCTCCGCCGTCGCGGCCGTGCGCCGGGCGATGAAGTCCGCGAGCGCGGCCTCGTGCAGCGCGTCGCGGCTCGACGCCGCGCCCGACGCGCCCGCGTACTTTTTCTCCATGAGCCCCTCGATGGTCTCCGGCGCGGCCGCGGGCTCCTCCTTCGGCGCGTCCTTCGCCTCTTTTTCCGAGTGCTCCCGCGTCGCGAGCGCGCCGGCGGACAGGCCCTTGGACCGCTTGCGCCAGTACTGGCTGTTCTGGACGGCCTCGATGGGCTCCGGCGCGGCGTCGTCGTCGTCGTCGTCTGTTGGCGGCGGCGCGACGGCGCCGCGCTTCTGTCCTTTTTGCGTCCGCTTCTTGAACATGGTCGGCGTGGTGGGCGCAGAGACGCCGAGCCGGGCCCGCGGCACCGCTGAGGCAACAAAAAAGAGTGAAGTTCTCGCACTCGCTGCGATAAAATCAAGCGTCGCGAGCAGCTATCGCGCGCAGATACTTTTTAGCTGGTCGTGCAGAGCATGAAGCAGCCCGGTTGCCGCTTCGCGTCGATAATTTCGTCTGAGACGCCAAAAGGCCAGGGGGCGGCATGGCAGCCCCCGTGGGGTCCAGGAACCCTCTGAGCGGTGGAAAAATTACGCGTTTCGGCACCGGATCCGGTGTCTCGTGCCGCGCCACCGATTTTTTCCACGGGAGAGCTTGCTGCTGGGCCGCGTTCGAGAGGAGCTGACGGGCGCGGGCGGGGACGCACCGCCCGAGTATGGTCGAGACAGAGTCTTTCGGCTGGACCTAAAGGCGGTTCCGGCCTCGGAACCGGTGCCCCGAGGGGCGCCAAGCTTTAGGTCCAGCGATCTCGTCCTTGTTTTGACGGTAACGGGAGCCGCCGCGGGCCGCGACGGCGCCCGAGCCCGACCAGACGAGCTCGACCATTTCGAGCCCCGCGACCTAACCCTTGCACCGAGGCGATGCGTGGGTGACGATGAACGATCTCTGGTGCTGCGAGGGCTCAAATCTAGCTCGAAGGGGTCGGGGAAGCCGAACGCGCCCCATCCCAGCCCATAAAACCTCTCGTTCGCGTCGCCCCGCAATCGGCTCGATGTCGAGTTTTCGCCGTTGCCTCGTCCGTACGCGCGCGGTCAACAAAGCCACTGGGATCGTGGTACGTCGTTGCATTATGGCTGGGCTGTGGGTCTGAGAAGCTGATGGATTCTCCATCGCACGCTCGAAAACGTGCTCGACGTTTCGAGCGAGTGCAACCGGTAAACATGGGCTCAGACGTATCTGCGCGCGATAGCAGCCCAAGGTTCTGTCCACCTGTCCGCGGCCGCGAGTGCGGCCCCTTGTGTCCGCGCGCCGGGGCACCTCCGCGGTGCCGAAGCTCCGCCGGCGCCTCGCCTCCTCCGGCTCCCTCCGCGGGCGCATCAGAAAACGCGCCGGACGCTCCGCGCGGCGCCGCCTCTTCGCCCCGAGGCGCCCGCCGATACGCGATGGCGAGCTACGAGTCGAGCCCCGAGGCGGTCCCGGCGGGGCGGCCGAAGCTCATGCTGAAGAAGCGGGACCCGGCGGCGGCGGCCAAGGCCGCCGCCGAGCGCAGCGCGTCGGCCTCGGGCAAGCCGAACCCCTTCGGCGCCGCGCGGCCCCGCGAGGAGACGCTCAAGGCCAAGGGCGTCGACGTCAAGCTCATGAACAAGAAGATCGAGGCGAAGACGACGAGCACGACGCGCATGACGCGCCAGCAGCGCGAGGAGGCCGACCAGCTCTCGCAGGCCGTCCGCGAGGCCGAGGACGCGCTCCGCGAGGCCAACGAGAACGAGATGCCCGAGAACGCGCTCCGCGAGACCCTCGCGGCGAAGCGCAAGATCCTCAACGACTTCATGGAGCAGGTCGCCGCGGCCAACATGCAGAAGGTCGGCGGCGCGCCGGGCATGTGAGCGCGACGCGGGAGCCGGCGTGCGAGCGCGACGCGGGAGCCGGACATGTGAGCGCTCCTTCGTCGCGCCGCGACGCCAGACCACGACCGCGCCAGCCGAGCCGCGCGCGCCTGTCTTTCTTCGACATTC